ATTGATATAAATAGTAAAGTAACTATGATGGAAAGATTATTCGAAGGAAAATTTATCTTAATAAGTACATTTTAAAATAATGCTCCTCAACTTCAATTCATATGTTCATTCATATTATTATATTTCTTTACTATTCACACGTATACTCTATATATAATTATATAGTTTTTCAAAATATTAATATATTTTAAGATCATCGAAATCCACGACTCTTTGTTAATAATTAACTATGAATTTAAATTTTCAAAAGTAATTGTGGAATTGTTATTGTAACAGCTTCCGGTCGTAAACTGCGTCCGGTAAGAATTTTATCCCAGCTTCGTCAGCGTTGAAGGGGTCAAATGATACGCTGACACAATCATATCCTGGTGATATCGATGTTTTTATATTCTTTTGATGCCACCAATAAGGACTTTTCAATTTACAGCATTGGACAATTAATAGTAATTTTTCTTTCCTTCCTTATCGTTTTTCTGCGATCGAATGAGGGTATTTAAGTTAATTATTTATTATTAATTATAATTTAAGTTGTATTTAAGTTTTGAGAAAAATATTTTGCTTTGGATTTGCTTCAAAAAAATTTCACTTTCAATTTTGCGCATAGATTTTTTTTTTATATTTTTATTTATATTTATTAGACGAGAATTTAAATTTAAATCTGAAAATGAATAAATAGCTGGAACCGTAAATCGAAATTTCAAAATATTAGAGTTTCTAAGGATTTGGAAAATTTAAATGACGAATGGATTTAGAATTATGAGAAAAACGTAATATTATTGGATTGTAGGGGCATTAAATTGTCGATGAAAAAAAAATTTGTCGATATTGTTGTTATAACTTGGCGATACTGGTATCATTTTTGTTTTATATTTTATCTTTTATAATTTTATGATTTAACAAAAAAAAAAAATTGTCGATATTTGAACTGTTATAATTTCGCGATAACGTTGCATATTTTTTTTATTTTATTTTTGCCTCGTATTCTATCTTTCATAATTTTGTTATACAATCTTTGAATTTTTTTTTTTAGAATTCTCAGATACACATTTCCTTTCCACAACATTTCTAACGTTCAATTCTTTTTTATATACGTTTCTTATTTTCATTACGTTTATATATTTTTTTATTACGCTTAAGTCGAGACTTTTGTTTTTGTACCAGTTTCCCCGATGGTTTCAACTATTGATAAGCTTTTCTGTTTATAACCGAAGAGAGAGATGAGCGTTGTATCTTAAATGATTTAAGACTGAAGCGTAAATGGTCGACGAAGTCATATAGGCTCGCGTTTACTTGTTTACTTCTTTCAGGATGATATACGATTTAGTTTTTAATATGATATACGCGTGTTTTGGTTTTCCATGTACGAACATCCTTTTTATCAATGCAAATTTTAAATGACTTCCAAAGCTAAAAAACCAATTGTTGCGAAATGCGGTGTTAGTTCAACGTTTGTCACATTGTATATATATATATATACATATAATATGGTTTCGTTGTTTTTTAATGTTATTGAAGAAAGGTATTTTTGACGGATTATTTATTATTTCATATATATTTTAATATCTCAATAAGAACGAATATTAACTTTGTTCTGTAATTAAAAAGAATCGAAGGGAGTTTTTGAATTCGTAAAGTTTCGTATCCTACAAATTTTAGATAGAACATAGTAGAGCTCGTATTTAAAGAAAGTAAGATATAAACGAGTACTTGTGAGAGAGATGACGTGGAATGAGACATCTAACGATAACGAACTGAAATACCGTGGAACGCCTACTCCTATATAAGACAGAAGGCCACTCATATGTATCAGAAGACGTGACATTCAGGTTCTAAACACCATCAAGGATACACGATGTTTTCAAACGATCAGCCATCTAAGTATGTATTAATCGTGCTCGACGTAGCTTAATTTTCGTTGCTTAATTCAATTTGGATCCATAATGGAATTTTTTTTTGTTTAAATCAAAGAACAAATTGACGGCCACTTTTGACCTAAAATTTCTCTCGTTTAGATTTATTAGATAAATTGATACGTTAATTTTGACCTAATAACAGAGTTTCTTTCATTTGAGATTATAAAATAGATTGACCGACAGATCATTTTTGATCTATAATAGAATTTTTCTCGTTTCGATTATAAAACCAATTATTGGACGTCGAGTCACTTTTGACCTATAACATAATTTCTCTCGTTTCAATTATAAAATAAATTGGCTCACTTTTGACCAATAATAAGTTTTTTTTCTTTTCATTTGAGTTATAAAACAATGAAGAAGAAAATTTATTTCGTTTATTTAATTTATTGATAATTATGCAAAAAAAAAAAGATCATTTTATTAATTTCAATGACCAATTCTTAAAATATTATCAGGGATTGTATTTTGAGCAACTTTTTTCTATACATAATATCACTGCTCGATTTTAGTTTCACAAAAATATATTAAATGGAATAGATTTGAATTAAACAATTTGGATTAGATTTACATTAGATTATCTAATCTAAACCTAATTCAATTAAACCTGATAATCTAAATCCAAATTTAATTAATTAAATAATTCAGTAATTATTCAATAATAATAAACTAAAATACAATTATGATATTAAATATTAAATATATATATTGTATATTTCATTTGAATCTTTTTTGTATTATTGGCTGGAAACATTTCTATTATATTAAACATAATATTAAGTTTGATTTTTATATCGTTTTATATTTTTATTATCGAATATTAGTCCATATATTTCCTTCCATGCGAATGTAACAGCAAAAATATTTATAAATCCATCAGAGATTTAGCATATATTCAATAAAATTTATAAATAAAATATATCTGAAACAAAATAATCATAAAAATTATATATACATAATTTCTTCTATAATTAACTTTAATGTAGATCAAGTAGCAATATCATTATCATCATAAATAAGGTTAGGTTATACAGAAACAGCGGTCGCTACCAGACCTCTTTATGCCAGAAAGTTTTTTGTAAATATCTCGAAAATTGAAGACTGGACGGCAGTAACATGTATAGAAAAAAATTGTTCAAAATGATAACCCTAACAACATATTCGAAATAAATCGAAATCAACGAGATGACTTCTTTTCTACATAATTATCCATTTCATTTTTGAATATATTTCAAGTAAATCGAAATTTATAAAGTGATTCCTTTCCTGCTATACTTATTATTCATTTATTTTTCCCATTATTGCTCAAAATGATGATACATATCAAATAAATCGAGATCAATGAGGTAATCGTTTTTTTTATAATTATTCATTTATTTTCGACGTATATTATAATAAAAACTTGCTAAGATTTTGTAATAAAAAAATTTTTTAAAATGACAAATAAATAACAGAATAATAATAGATTTCGAGAATTTTTAAAATTAATTGAATAATTTTATAAAAGAATAACATAGAATCAATTTCAAACACGCTTTCTTTATAATAACAACTTGTAAACTTAGAATCAAAAACGATTATATTCTATTACTTAGAATTCATTGGAGACGATATTTTTAATGAAAAGATTTTTTAACAACGGGGAAATAAAAAATAAGTACACTGAAACAGAACTTTAATTTATTCCCTATAATCGATAACTCCTTTTATGCCAATATTTATTTATTCGCAAAAAAAAACCAAAAAATCAGTAATTTAACACACCGAAGAGATCGTTTTCTAAGACGATCCATGATATCTCCGCGTTCGCATTCGAGTCCTTTGGTGTCGCGTTGCGAAAATAAACAGAAACCGCTTGATGCGCGCTCCCCAATGTCCTTCCGAAGGACGGAGACGGCCGGAGAGCAGGCGGCCTAATGGCACGCGGAGGGCGAAAGCGATAACACAGGATGAGATCGTGCGATTCCGCGCGCGTCACGTTCCGCATTCGGCTTAGTAAGCGGCGTGAGCTCGCTTCGTTAAAACCGATTCACCCATTTCAGTCGAGTGTCAGAAATCGCGGACGTTGCGTACGCAGCCGTGATCACGGTCACTCGTTTCGTATCTGACCCGTATTGGCCGAACGGAGCCGGTTTTCACGCGGGCGTAGCCGTGCTGGAAATTAGATACGAGGTATCTCGAATTGGGAACGGAAGCAGAACGGAGGAGAACCGAGGGCAAGCATCGAAAGGATCCCGCCGATGCGACGACGCACGCGGATGAGGAGAACGATTGCCGCGATAAGCCGTGGGAACGGTGATAACGATAATAACGAGAGAAAAAAAGGCAAGTTCATCGAAGCGCGGTTAGATCCGAGTATCTTCGAGTGACGTAAGTCGATAACTCGTCGTGTGTAACCCGCTTGCACGCCTCCTTTTCTCGAGAGCCAACGGAACATTCGGATTTTTAAGCGCTGCTCTTCCAAACAACGGATTCGAAACGATCGCGTTCGACCACCCCCTCCACCGGCGCAGATATCTTCTCTCTCGTCTCCGCTCTTCTTTCTTTCTTTCTTGCGGTGGACAAATGATGGCGCGGCCGACTTTACCGAAGGCGCATCGAACCGGGCGAATCTTCTCGTTTCGGGACAATTTGCGCGCGATCGACAAAGTTTCGCGCGGTCCGACTATCAATTCTGAGAGTCAACGAGGAAAAAAGTAAATTGCGCGCGCGACAAACTTTCGTTTGGACACGCGAGTTTAGTTCTAATACTACAAACGCGAGAAAAAAATAAGAAAAATCAATTACGTTCGTGTATAGATTGGAATTTTTTCGCTGGGATGGAAACCGATCAAACGTAAACGCCTAGATACTCTGTCAATTAAAATACGCGTAATCAATTGAGAGTCGAATTAACCCTAGTTAGCCTCGTTGAGTCTCGAAAATGCGTGCGGAAAAATTCCTGAGGTAGATTGATCGATAGATCGATCGATTTTGTTCCGCTATAAGTATTTTCATCGAAATATTTTTCTCTCTTTCTTTCTTCGGTCGCGTTATGCGACCGACTCCTCTCGTGCGATGTAACATCGTTCAAACGCGAATCGACTTTTTCGAAACGATCGGGACGCGCGTACCTTTGAAATCTATCGGATTTTCGTGCCGCGTTCGAGTTTATACGAGTATGCACGAACATGCACGAGTGTGAACCGAGTGTCCAGCGTCGCGTGGTACGTTGTGTTGCGTCGCGTTGCATCGTCGTTACATCCGTTGTGTAACGCTCGTGCAACAAGCTTGCAAGTAGACCGAATCCGCTTTTTTCTTTCGAATATCGTGAAACGTGTGACGTAACGCCAAATGATGACGCGCAAGGCGAATCAGAATGAACGCCACGTATACATTGACCTCGAACCGTTCCGTATTCGAACCTTCTTATCTTAGCTCGTTTCCATTTCCCGGTAATGCGAATGTAAAACGAACTAGATATTTTCCTCCAAATTATTGCACGATGCGCGGTCAAGACTTTTACTTATTAAAGATTTCCATGATATTCCTGTGTTTTAGAATTCGAGATATGACAGGAGACGTCTCGAATGGCATCCTTCAAAATGTCGATAACGATTCTATCGGCGATCCTTTTTACCATCGGCGCCTTGAACCATCTTGCCCGAATAATCATTTCGTCAAAACCATGGAACGACAGTCCTGTGATGAGCACGTAGCGAATGACTTGCCGCTAATGCCGATCGGAACCACATCGATAACATCGATCGCGTCCGAGTGTTTCGACATCGAGGCAGACAACGAGCAAAGTATTTACAATGACGGATTTCTAGACCGTTGCATGGAACTCGCGAGTTATAATCATCCCGTCTGCGATAGGGAAATCACCACTTGGTTCAGACAAGTTCGACGACGGTGTTCCAACATTCGCAGTAAGTTTATTTCGATTTAAAATTTAATAAATATTCGTTTGAATACGTTAAACAACTCTGATGCAATTATAATTAACAATATAACAAAATAATATTTGTAAACAGTTGTATTAACGATTCTCTTATTAGTAAATTTTAATACACCTACATTTAATACCCATACCTATGTACCAATTTTATTGATGTTTTTTATTGGAGATTTTTATGTTTAATAGCATAAAAATTAACCAAGTTTTGAAAAAATTTACTTAAATATTCTATCCTTTTTATTTAAAATATCTTATCTAGTATTTTTTAAAAATATATGAAGTTTTATGCATCCTTTAACTTTGAAATAAGGTTAGAAAAGCTTATACTGTGTAAATATCTAAAATAGGATATAATAATTTATATTAATATTAATAATATTAATGATTTGACAAATTATAAAATGTAGATGAATGATTATTTTTTAAAATTTTTATAATTTGTTATTATTAAATAATAATAATTAAATAGATATCTTTGTAGAAATAGGTATATTTGTTATAGAATTTGTTTATAATTGCTTCGTTACTTACTCATTGAACTTATTATTGTTATTATATAAAAAAAGTACAAATTTTTTAATGTTAATAGCTTATAATAATTTTATAACTAAGTGTCATTAGTAATATATATAATGTAAATTCATCATAAATTTATACTTTTATAGAAATATTAGGGACCCAGATATAATTTTTTTTTTTTAACAAGCACAAAACATAAAGAAATATAAAAAGTTTTCAATTTTTTGTATGTTTCGATATGACATACAAAAAAAAAAAATACAAAAAATATAATCTTTAATTTTGAATTATTTTTAATTGCATTTCAAAATATTTCGATTACATCGCACGTTGGAAAGTATTAATACTAATTTAGATCACTGTTCTATACTATTAGATTTAACAAATTCATTCATTCATATAGATCCATCATTTGTACGAATAATTATTGCGATAAAATTGATTTTTTTCATTCTCAATTAACGTATTCATATTACAAGAAGTCTTACAAGATCTTGATTGAGAATTAATTGTTCTTTTACATTTTATTGCATAATGATAAATGTTATGCTTCGAAATTTATATTTTAATTGATCTTTATATATCCTATATACTATATATATATTCCTTATACACTCTATGCAGTTTTTCTAATCTAAGCTTCATTATTCTTTTTTATTTTTTACTGTTATCGTGTCAATCAATCTATTAACACAGTCTTGTGAACGATCATTATTATTATAATTGTTTTATGAAATGTATTCTATTTTTTTCTATATAAAAAGATTTTTAAAATTTATGAAGATTAAATTAAATTAAAATTCAATAATAAGTATTATCATATTTGTTCATAAATCTGTTTTTATACTATTGATTTATATGCAAATGGGTATATATATATATATATTGCAAAAAGAAAATTAAATAATTTAAACTTATCTTAAATTATTTATTATCTTATTTTAAATAAGATTTGAACATTTTGAGAAATTTTTAAATTATTTGAAAATTATTTTTTAAAATTATTTGATGAGACAAATTAATCATCATTTATATATATTTACTTCACAATACTGTTTATCATAATCTATTCTATATACTTATTATATTATTACTAATATTATTTATAGTCAATGCCATTTATAGTTTATATTTATTTAGAATGTTATTTGAAAAACAAGTTTATAATTATTTTTTCAAATAATCAATTCTTCAATTTATTATTTATAAAGAAATAATTAAATAATATTTAACGTTATGTGAAATAATGTCAAATTATCAAAATTAAAGATCAATTATTATTTGAAATAAATTTCGGCTATATTGTCCGTCTTCTAAATCTTTATTTGAAATATAGATAACGTAATAAGGTTATGTTTAACAAAAAATTGAAACAAAAGAAAAATAAATGAATTAAACTTAATATATATTATGAAAATAAATCAATTTAGGAAAATAAGGGTAATATGATCTATCTTAAAAATCATTATTATATAAGAAATAATTATTTATTAATAATTATTATTATAAAAAATAAATATTTTAACATTTCTATTGTTTAATTCCTATATTTATATTATTTATAATAAAAATCACATATATAATTTTTTTCATATAATATATTCATATGATACACTCGTCATGCGATCATAATTCATAAATGAGACATTTAAAAAATATTTCATCATATTGATCTACGTCTGCCACATGACATATATATTGCATCATGTTATCAGAAATTCCATGAAGAATCTTGACGTCTGAAATATCAGAAGATGAGTTTTTGAAGCTCATATTCTTCATTTATTTCTGACTCAGAATTCTTGCGACATCGTTTGTTATTTACGTTCTTAACTGTCTTTCGTTTAGTCTCTGGAGGATCATATTATCCTTCATTATGGGAAATCAATGTAGTAGCATGCATAGTTTCATAAATTTTTAGTTTATATTTGAAAATATGAAAAATTAAGTACACTTATTTATAAATATTTGTATTAGATTTAAAGAATTTTTTATTAAATAATTATTTCAATATCTTTTTAATATTTTTAAAAAATACTTTGTAAAAATTCCTTTGTAACATTGAGGAAGATAGATTTTTGATATAAATATTTTTACTTTTTCCAATGATATAGAGGATTTTCTAAATAAATTTTTCTTTGAAATAATAAAGAAATATAAGTAATTCAAAATATTTTTAATATAATCAATTCGTATAAATATTATTTTAAATATTGAATAAGGAATAAATATTGAAATAAGGAATAATAGAAGATAGTATTTTGAACAAATAGTTTTTAATTTTAATATTTTACTTAATTATTATATTTCATTATATTGATTATTGTGCATATAAAGTTCAATTTATATTTAGGAACAAAACATACTTAAGATTTTTAATTTTTGCCTCGAAAATTGTATCTCCCATATTTTTTCCTATGTTTATATTAATATAAATAGTAAATAGTAAATATTAATAATGATTTAAACATTAAAAGAAATAGTATTTTCGAATATTTATATTAATATTAATTTTGTCTTTTCTTGTGAAAAATTTAATTTTTATTTTTTATCTAGATTTGCAGATAGTTTTATAAAATTATTACAAAAAATAGGAAAGAACTTTGAGAATCTAGAATTTGAAACTTTTTGAAAAGTTTCAAAAGATATCAAGATTTCGATGTTTCGAGAGATTTATTGTTAATAATTTTTAATATTTCCTCTCAAATTATTTCAAATTTTCTCTAATACTGTTTCCCGATTAAATGAAAAATTTTTGTTTTATTTAATTATTTATTTATATATTTATTATAAGTCTGTATTTAAATAATTAATAAAAGAAGCATTGCATTGTTAATATATAGTAAATATTTTTAATTTTATTTAATTATTTTTTGATTTCCGGAAGCATAATATAATTATGGATAGATTGTTTATATAAATTTCAATTGTTCATAATTCAATAAATAAAGCTTAAATAACTTTTTTATATATATCATGCTTGTTTTAATTAAATTGACGATAGATCATCAAAGAATATATTAACATCTTATATAACTCACTGTATATAAAGAAATGATATTATTTGATCATATTATTTAGTCATATTTAGTCGTATTATTTAACATATTTTTTTGTGTATGTTTAATAAATTATATAATTTTTTTTTAATAAATTTAAACGAAATTATTTAAAAAGAAATAACTTTTTTTAATTTTTTTTCGATTAATGTTTATAATAAATATTAAACTATAAATGATTATTAATAATAATATAGTAATAATTACATTAAATATATAATAATTTTAACAAACTTAACAATTAATAATATAATATTAAAGTAAATATAAAAATTATTTATTTTCATTAAAAAAATTAAATTAACAAATAATAATGGATTTCATTAAAATTAAAAAATAAGAAATAATTTATTGCATGAAAAATGACACTTTCTTTTTATCAAAATTTATTATAATTTGTTGTAATAGGCTTGATTAAATATTTTGTTATGAATTAAAAATTAAAAAATTAGGAGAAAATCATATTACTATATTTTTCTTTTTTCTATTCTATCAATGTTCTTTTATGCCATCACAATTATTTTTAATCAAAGGTTTCATTATCAAAAATGCATTCCATAAATTTTTATTATTATTATTATTATTATTACATTATTATTCTGTTAATCTTTCATTTACCTTCATTATATAATATTAGTATGTTCTTTATAATATTGTTATGTTCTTTCAATTTTATCATATAACCTCAAATCTTTTTTTGTCTCTGGCGTTGAATCCATCTAATTTTGTTTGTTTTTTTTGTTATTCTCTTTTCTTTTTGTTTTTTTTTTTTGTTACTTTTTTCATACACATATGTACTAATGGTGTGAATTAGTTAATTAAATTAAATATAGTGTGTCTTCTTTATTTACTTTATCTTAGTACAATGTCTTTTAAGAGAAAAATGTTATGGAAAAAGTTTATTTGGTATAAAAAAATATATTATACAGTATTATTAATAGTTTTTTAATAGTAAATGAATATTTAGAAAAAGGTGAAGAGATATTCTTCTTTTCATCTTCTTCTTTTTATAAAATAATTTTTTTAATAAGAAAATTTCAAATTTATTAACTTCCATCTTACAAAATTCTATATTTAATTATTAAACTAATTTCTTTTCTTAAGAAATAACGAATTTGTAAATATATCCAAAAATGTGTATGTATATCATATCTATTTAAATATATGTCATCTTCATTTATACATTTATCTATAAAAAAATATGAATAATATATCTTTTTTAGTTACTATTATTTTTTAAAAAACTTTTATAAAAATATTTTACAAAAAAAGAGATGTTTATTGCATTTAAATATTTAGATAAAACAACATAATTAGACAAAACAAAAACAAGAAATATATATTTTCAATGTTTTTTAAAATTAAAATTAAAATTACAAGATAATTATTGCTT